GACACTGCTGTCTAGCGTCTGGACTGTATAATATAAGGCCTGCGTAGCACACCGAACATGTTCGATGCCCCACCGAGCATCCGACATGTGCAGACGCTCGGCCGAGCCGGAGGTGAACATTTCGGCCGAGCACAAAAAAAAAAAAGGAAGAAAAAAGAAAAAGGAAAGAAAAAAAATCCATACGGTGAAAGATTGCAGAGCATTCCGAAAACTTAAAGTAGTTTCCCCAACCTGAAATCAACGGAACCAAAGCACTGATGAGTCGGTGTATAGCGAACCTTTGTGAGATTGTATTACAAAACGAGTTTGCGAAAGAAGTGTTTCCTGTGATTTCTTGGACGGAGCAACTCTGCTGACGAGCCCGTGGGATTCAAGCATTTGCCAAGGTGGAGAACGTCATGTGCTAAGAAATGGAATCCTTCTCCCATAGTGACTATGCGAGTTTGATCAGGCACAAAGTGCAGGCCCATGGGTTGGAGCCATTGTGATAGGAACCCTTGAGAAAGAAAAGCAAAGGAAAGAAAAGAAAAGACCCCCACTTTCCCCCGTTGTGTGTGTGTGCATGTGTGTATGTTCAGGAATGATGAGTGATGCCCCCTGAGCCTCCCCAACCCCTATATAACAATAATAATAATAATAATTATTCCCCAACCCCTATATAACAATAATAATAATAATAATAATATTATTATTATTATTATTATTATTATTATATCAAAAATGTTTGGGCTCGGTCGATTTTGGGCCATGTTTGCGTTAGGTCACCGAGTCCGAAGGTGATGCTACACAGCTATAGGGTACCATAAACCAAAAGACCACAAGATCTTCATGCTATACCAGAAGGGCTACTGCGTAACTCCGATGCTAAAAGGGGGTTACGAAATACTCTCTGAGCTTCTTTGCGAGAAGATTGTGGCTAACTCCAGGCATACATTCACAGAATCTCCACGCAACACCAGGAGCACTACTGCTTCCATTTGCTCCAAAAGGGTAGCCCGTGGGAGTGAGCATGGTTGTGGGTGGCCACAATTTTTTGCGACGGGAATGTTTGTTTGAAGTCATGGTCACGGTATCTTCTTGAGGAGACTCTCTGAGCCCCCTCCTCAACAAGGTACCGTGACCATGACTCCAAACAAACATTCCCGCCCGAAAAAACATTGTGGCCACCCACAACCATGCCTTTGTCAACAGACAGCCCATGGTTTACAGCAGGGCATAGAATTAGGTCATGCATGAATAAAAAACAACCAATAAATTATCCAACCACAAAAAGGAGTAGCTCGCTAGTATGAGCCCAACCCTAGCAGCTCAAATCTGCCAAGACAGAGCTAGCAAGACCGGAATGTGTGTTAGTGTGTGTGTGTGTGTGTGCGCGTGTGGCAATGTGTGTGTGTGTGTGGCAACATGTCTGCGCACATGTGGCAATGTGTGTGTGTGTGTGTGACAACATCTGCATGTGTGTGTGCGTGTATGTGACAACATGTGTGTGTGTGTGTGTGTGCGAGTGTGTATGTGCGTGTGGCAACATCAAGAATCAAAACCATCACATTCCTGGTTCTCTCGAGACTTGGGCCTGCTGAACCTTAATCTGGTGCTGCCAGCCAAATGCTCGACAGTGTGGTTCCCCGTACGTCGTATGGGCGATCCATGTACGGCCCGTCCGAACGGACGGAAGAACCAAAGCACAGGCGATGCCTGTACAATGCTGCATTCAGGGCAAGATAATATGTAAAGAAAAAGAAAACTTCAAAAAGGGGAGTTGTCAAGCAGAAAACGCTTCACAACCCCTCTTTTCTTTTTCTTTTTGGTCCTTCAACAAAGAACTAAAATTTAGTAAAAAATACAAAATATTGATTTATTGATTCACTGGGTGTCCATTGGTGGTTGGTTGGTTGACTGATTGATTGATTGATTTATCAAACAATAAAAATAAAAAACGCAAACGCACATTGATGCATCAGCACGCGGGTGTGTGCGGCAGTGTGCACTCCTCTCTGCATTGCTCTGCGCACGCA